TAAGAAGGCGATCAATATTTGACTTTAGGGTGCGTTTGGGGATATATTCAGATACCATTGAGCCAGGATTTTCTGGGGATGTTCCATTTAACCATCATTCTTAAAATAAGTACTATTTCTTCAATTTACAACACATGATACCTATAGCATAGCAATGTAAATTCAGAGCCATACACAGTCTGACACCAAAACCTAATAACTTTTGAACGGTTTTATTCCCAAATAGACATGTCTATCCAAAGATCATTAGCGTAGAAAACGATTTTCGTTCTGACCTAATTGAAGTTTGTTGTCAACATCCAAATATCAATACTGACTCATTTTCATTGAATTCATCTTGAATTTCCTTGTATAGTTAAAATAGATTGACGGGGCATGACAAAGTGAAATCGGGTAGACATATTGGTGAATTGATTATCTCATTTATTGGATTAACTGTGTGGGGGAGGAAATTGAAATAGTAAATTTATTGAAGGTCGAGATGAAATGAAATAGGGATCAACGTCCTACTTTTTCTGCGTCAACTGGGGTCAAGATGCTAGTGTAAGGTCATCAAAAATATACAAAGGAGAAAAGAAACTAGAGAATTTGAAACCATAAACATTTTTAAAATTTAAAGTTGTTCTGCTATTGTTGATATAAAACTAATAGCTATCAAAGGTGTGTTAAGCAATCAAATAAAACACTGATATTAATACTAATAATAACTTTGCTCGAAGCAAGATAACGAGTTCATAAAAATACCGGCCTGTTTCTGCCATGCGCATTACTGTTGTTGAATAGGCCTGCGCATAGTAGATCTGGACCGAGCAGCGAAGTGAAATCACTTCTTACCTTTGCCCTCCGATTAAGACGCATAATCTGGCTCCATCGCGGCTTTCCTTCGCTATGAGTTCACCGATCGACGTCAAAAAATGAACATGGCGAAGCTGTAAGAAGAGACACGACATCATGGCTTTCTTCGCTCTGAATTTTCTTGCCATCGCGCTTATCCTCACGTACGTAGATTAGAAGATGCCTTGACAGTTGAAATGCGAAATAACAGTAGAACGTAGCGTCACTTTTCCCGATAGCACACTGCGTGACGTATGCCGATCTTCAGAAAGGTGGAAAATTAAAACCATCTTTCATTTCATTTATTTGCTATGTAAGTCCGTTCACTCATCCCATATGTTGTCTGCGTAACCGTAATCGGTGATGGTTATTCCAATTTTAAAGGACAATTTTGGCGTCAGTCATTATCAGATGCGTTACGAAGAATTGAAGAAACGGGAAGTGACGCAAATAATGGAAAACACGATAGTGGCTGACCAGAAATTCAGAGCAAGAAATCATGAATGGCTTCAAATTTTGTGATTTCTGAAAGCTAGCTTTACTACTTTCTACCGCCCTTTCCTCTTCTTACAAATTTTGTTATCTTCAATTCAAACCTGATACAAAATGATGAAGCAAATACAGGACATGAAATCAAAAGTTGTTAACTTTCCTGCATATGTCACGGAGTATTCTCTCTGCGACATCTTGCCAAGGCAGCGGAGATAACTGTTTAGGCCTTAAGGTTCTTTAACATGTACGGTCAATAGCACACAAAGCCTCAGTTATAGTCCACACTGAACAAATTAGATTCTGCGCCATTGACAAGAAAGGGCAAGTTGCAAAATAAGGACGGGTAGCTTTTTTGGCTATTATAATGGTTTATAATCCAAGATCATATTCTCTGAACCATCGCGTTTCTTACACTTTAATATTGTTTGCATGGTCGATTTCAAATACACAATACAACATACATTTGCATGACCACTATGTGTATTGATCATAGATTCTAACATAAAAAAGCAGCAAACTGAACAGACAGGAACATAATCCAATAACATACCCAGTATCTACCTATGCTGTAGATTTGCCTTCACACATACATATTATTAGGAAGACTTTTATTGTTGGTTTTCCCCTGTTCTTTATTCTGCATGGTCAGTGCACATTCGAACATTCACCGCCATAAGTTAAGTCTGCGACGCGCATGCGTTAACCGAATCCGACGATATAACTATTGTGAATTAACAGAACAGTGGCGTTAATATACAAGTTATTCTGGAATATTACAGGTCTGTTGATCTAATGACACGATTTATATTGTTAATAAACAGTTTCTATCAGCTTATATCCTGAAAACTGTGTAAAAATACACACGTTTCTGTCCAAATACAGAAATACAACTAAAACAACAGATTTTATGTTAAAAATACGAGTTATTTATCTCAAATTACAGATATTTTTGTGATAATACGGATAATTTCCTTCAAATAACAAAAAAATAGGGATTTTAAAAACAGATATGTTTTACAGAGAGGTTTGATGTCATCTTGGGTGTTATATACAGTGATAATAAAAATGAAATAGCCTCAAGGTATTCACTAACAATAAAGATAAAAATAATGTGAACTTTAGTTGGCCATAGCTTACGTTAGGATCTATCGATTTTTAATCATTTTGGGACCAATGTGCTTCTATTGTGAATTGACTAGTCTATTTGTCTTCAAGTCTATGATATTATGAAGATTGTTAGCTATCTTATTCATGTGTCTGTGACATTTTGATAAATAAACGATAAATAATTGATGATCAAAATGACGCTATACTACATGGGATACATTGTGGCCCAGTGAGTAATTTGCTGACTCGCTAACCAGGAGGTCTGAAATTTTCCAGCGTGGTGTCCGCTTGTCAGAGGTGCAGGGCGGACAGTCTGGCAAGAACAACATCTAGTCGTTTGGACGGAAACGAAAAAACAAGATAATAGAGACTTGGCAAGCGTAAATTCCTGGTCCGTTTGCCGTATGGCGTATCTGTTTGGATTTCGCGTGTGACGTCATCAATGTGTGTATTTCTGATACGTGATATGGCATACGGATGCGACAGCACGTATCGAACAACTTGCATACGGAAAAGCTCCGTATAACATTGTCGTCTTTTTACCGTCTTTTTGCTACTTTTAGACGCTGAAATGTTGCGTCATAGCGTTTTTATGAATCTATGTGTATATTTGTATATTTGATGCGATTTTAACCATGATAACGACTGGAATTTCATCATTGTTTTTGATGGGTTTTTCTCGGAATTTTGATACTTTTCCTGTCTGTCTGCATGCTGCTAAATTTAGGGAGGTGGGACCTTGCAAATCTTTCAATGATTTTGTTCTATGGTAAAGGGATACAAACTTTCAGAAATTGCTGTCGAATCGAAGTCGAAGATTTTTAATAAGATTCGACATTATATTTTCTTTTTTTATAGCCCAGCGACTTGTAGGCTAAGCACTTGTACTGGTGGTGATGCTGTAATAGAACTAAGCTCAGCTCAGAGACGCATAAGTACGCGACGCGAAAATCTGCCAAAGCTCTAAAACTACATTGACGCAACGTATCGCGTATACGATACGCATACGTGATAAGGATGGGAATATTTCGCTTGCCAAGAGTCTCTAATATGTACATGTTGGCATGTACGTAAACGAATCCTTGACGGTTAGAATACAAAATAGGAGAGGCCGAAGCGCCGCTGTCAGGTCAAGCAAGGGAGGTTGGATGGCCGGATGGTTAGCACGTGCGTGCTGTATCATAAGACCTGTCATTGAGTCAACTGGCGTGGTTTCGAATCCACGGTTGTACGTGACAAGGAGTAGGGTCGCCTGTCCAGCCTCGTGGGCTTTCTCCGGGTCCTCCGGTTTCCTCCAACTGCTAAAGACCCCTACGCGCAAGCGAATTATTGAAATAAAATTAAACCATATGTTAGTCCTGAAATGACCTAGTTTGTGTCGGTGGACGTTAAACCCTATTTCTCTTTCTCTCTCTCTCAGGTCAAACATTTCCTCATAGCATTCTATATGGCGTATGTCCGTCTTCATTAGCCTGGACGATGCACAATAGGAAGACGTTCAACCCCATTTTATTTTATTCTACACAAATTGCTAATTACGCTATAAAAGAAATGAAATGAAATGGGTTTTAACGTCCTACTGTTCCGCTACAACTTGGCTAATGAAGACGGGCCTCTATGAAAGGTCGCAATTTCCAGAGAGATTTGAATTATGCAAAGACTAAACGGAAGTCGACATGTTTCTAATTTTAGTTTAGTTTTTTGCTAACTGTGTCAGCAGTTATAAGTAAACACTGGTTTTATCGACATTTTTTTTACCAAAATCAAATAAGACCGGTTTAGCCATTTTAAGTGTATAATCCAACACGTAAATGTCGATTGAAATAGAAAAGTTTTTATACCCACTGGCCTCGTATGACAGTCAACCCACACATGTCGAGTGTAACAGACAGGCTATTTATACTACTAGTGATAGTAAAAACTTGACAATTTATGCTTTTGTCTGTTATGCAAATGGAGAAAGACAGTTTTAATGAATAACGTAATATCCCACGAGAGTCCTCAACACAAAAAGAGTTTAGGATGCGCTTCAGCGATTCATTCATACACGAATTATATTTAATTCATCATATATTTTGACAGGATTTATGACTGTAATTAGTTATATTTCACCGGCAGTGCCACATGTGCAACGATGTATCAGATAGTCAGTTCTATAAGAATTTCATGCTGTGAATTTACAGGACAATATTTCATATCTAAAGTAAGTCGCGATAATGGAATGTTTGTTTCTTGTGTATATTTCGTTTCGGTTTTTTTTTTCGCTACAAGGGGGTTGGATGGTCGAATGGTTAGCGCGTGCGCGCTGTATTATAAGGTCTGTCATTGAGTCAACTGGCGTGGTTTCAATTCGCCGGTTGTACGTGACAAGGAGTAGGGTCGCCTGTCTAAGCTCGTGGGTTTTCCTCGTCTCCTCCGGTTTCCTCCCACTGCTAAAGACTCCCTACGCGCAAGAGAAGTATTGAAATAAAATTGAACCATATGTTAGTCCCGAAATGACCTAGTTTGTGTCGAGTGGACATAAGACCCAATTTCTCTCTCTCTCCCCTCCACTACAAATTTCTTACCTGACAGCATCTAAACCTTATAGCATCGTTGGAGACTATATGCAGAGAAATAGATGGAAACCATTGGCTTTGTACAGGTCGTTCACCGATAGGCTTAAAACTTTTCAGCCAGCCCTGATGTGTTTTCTTGACATTTAATCTTAAAAAACCTTTGGTTGTTTGTTTCTTCGTTTGACTAACCAACCAATTATATAAATATCCGAGCCCTGACGTGCCGAGTGGTTAAAATATTGACTGGAACAAAATCGATGCACGGCTCTAAATTTAGTCCCAACAAGCTGAAAATGTATTTCCTGTAGAATGCTTCGGTGATAATTCGGTGTAAAATTGAAGCCAGATCGTGTACGGAGTCTGTATTTGACAAGCCAAACAATATATACATACTGACTAGAAGCTCATCTGATTTTAAAAGGGCTGAACTAAAATAGAGAAGGGCAAAAACTAATATTATTTCAAGTATCTAGAAAAGTTGTCGGGCAGAAAATAAATTACCTGTGTTTACGTAATATGTTTCACATACGCATTACGAAAGCCGTTCGTTTGTTCCTGGAGTTTTTAATATTGCAAGCTCATTAAGCCGCGCTGATATCATCCCAGCTATCAGTGATTGTAGTCGCCTAGCGAATATTCACTGCTGATCAGTTTGGTGTTTACGGTTATTCGAACAAACTTTTTTTTTTTTTAGCCTAAATGGGCGATCCTAAACTTTTTTCCTTCTCATTTCCCAGGTCCTGTAAACCAGAGTTTGGTATTATGTTTAGAGCCTTTACTCTGTAATTTAACTAGTAAATGTATTGCAAGTATGGCAGAGAGGTCAAGTCTCCATTATTCGAATTCGGTACCTTCCCAGATATTTGGAAGCTTGCCAATGTTGTCCCCATTTATAAAAAAGGTGATATTACACGACGTATGCAAATATAAGCCAATTTCACTTCTTAGTTGTCTAGGCAAAGTTTTTGAAAAATATCTTCATAAATATTTACATAATTTTTTATTAGACCAGCGGCTGCCAGGCAGGATACGCCCACATTTTCGAGAGATGGATAGAGAACAAGCTAAAAAGAAAGCGATTTTTCGTACAATCAGGGGCCATAATTCAGGAAGTTATGCACGAATATCGATATGCACGAATATCGAAAGGAACCGAGATCTTTGGATTATAAACTTACATTTCAAGTTTCAACAAAATCGGATAAAAATTGTGACCTCTATAGGATCCACAATCTTGATATACCATATTTTTACGCTAATTGAGAACAAACGGCGGCCATTTTGACTGTCAATTTTGGGGCGATTTTCACAAAATTCAAACTCAACTGTCCTTAGGGTGGAACGGTAATACAATAATACGTTTTATTAAATCGGATAAAAATTATGACCTCTAATGGGTCCACAGGCTAAAAACATGATTTTTCGTACAATCAGGGGCAATAAATCAGGAAGTTACGGTCCGATATGGGCGAATAGCGAAAGGAACCGAGATCTTTGGGTTATAAACTTACATTTCAAGTTTCAACAAAATCGGATAAAAATTGTGACCTCTATAGGGTCCACAACCTTGATATACCATATTTTTACGCTATTTGAGAACGAACGGTGGCCATTTTGTCTGTCAATTTTGGGCCGATTTTCATGAAATTCGAACTCATTCATCCTTAGGGTGTAATGGTGATATAATAATACGGTTTTTTAAATCGGATAAAAATTATGACCTCTATAGGGTCCACAAGCTAAAAACGCGATTTTTCGTACAATCAGGGGCCATAATTCCGGACGTTACGGTCCGATATGGGCGAATATCGAAAGGAACCGAGATCTTTGGGTTATAAACTTACATTTCAAGTTTCAACAAAATCGGATAAAAATTGTGACACCTATAGGGTCCACAACCTTGATATACCATATTCTTACGCTATTTGGGAACGAACGGCGGCCATTTTGTCTGTCAATTTTGGGCCGATTTTCACGAAATTCGAACTCAGTCATCCTTAGGGTGTAACGGTGATATAATAGAACGGTTTTTTAAATCGGATACAAATTATGACTTCTATAGGGTCCACAAGCTAAAAACGTGATTTTTCGTACAATCAGGGGCCATAATTCAGGAAGTTACTGTCCGATATGCGCGAATATCGAAAGGAACCGAGATCTTTGGGTTATAAACTTACATTTCAAGTTTCAACAAAATCTGATAAAAATTGTGACCTCTATAGGGTCCACAAGCTAAAAACGTGATTTTTCGTACAAACAGGGGCCATAATCCATGAAGTTTCGATCCGATACATGCCAATATCGAAAGCAGCCGAGATCTTTTTGGGGATAAACCTATATTTCAAGTTTCGTCGAAATCGGATAAGAATTGTGACCTGTAGAGAGTCCACAAACAATTGTGGACGGACGGACGGACGGACGGACGTCCGGACGGACAGGGGCGACGGCATAATACGTCCACATGAAAATGTGGGCGTATAAAAATGAAAATGTTTCCCACTTTCAGTGATTATATTGCTAAGGCTATGGATGAAGGACAAGAAATTAAAGCCGTATTTTGTGACGTAAGTCGTGCGTTTGACCGAGTCTGGCACAAAGGTTTACTAAACAAGTTATTTGCTGTAGGAATTAGGGACAAATTTTTACTCTTAATAAAACATTACTTATCAAATAGACAACAAGTTGAAGCATGAGTTCCTCAGGGCTCCGTCCTAGGCCCAACATTGTTTCTCATTAACATTAACGACGCCATCAAGAACATAAACTCCCATATCAGACTGTTTGCGGACGATACGTCTTTGTATGTCATAATAGAGGACCCAGTTTTATGCCAATCTAGTCTTAATGATGACCTTTCTAAGATATCTACCAGATCAATTGATTGGAAAGTAAATTTTAACCCAAATAAAACAGAAAGCATGACCTGTTCACGGAAAAAAGACCCCTCTTCGTTTCATGTGAATTTTAACAATACCGACATAATAGATACAGCTGACCACAAACACCTTGGGCTAATATTCCATTTATCGGGACAGTGGACCGTTCACATTAACTCCGTAATTACTAAAGTAGGCAAACTTGTGGATGTTCTTAGAAGTTTCAAATATAAATTATCAAGGAAATTATTAGAGACTATATACAAATCCTTCATTCTCTCTATATTTGATTACGCTGATATGATTTATGATAATTGTAATAAATCTGACAGTGAAAAACTTAAAAAAATCCCCCTAGATGCCTTTAGAACTATAACGGGTTTGGGTAAAGGTACATCCCACAAAATGCTATACACTGAATCAGGACTCACTTCTCTGAAACAACAAAGATATAGGCATAGGTTAACCATATTTTACAAACTAGTAAACAAACTGGCCCCCCAAAACTTATGTCTTCTTGTCTCACCTTAAGTATCTGACATTAATCCATATTTTCTGCGCGACACCAACTCTCTACGATCTGTCCATTGTAATACAGAAACCTATAAATCTTCCTTTGTCCCACTGATAGTGCACGATTGGAATGAACTACCCGCCAATGTTAAAGATTCCTCGTCACTTAAAATATTTAAACAACATCTTTCCAAACATGATAAACAAGCCCCCTTATACTTCTACTTTGGCAATCGCTCAGTAAATGTCGTCCATACAAAACTTAGACATGGTAAAAGCGCACTAAATTATCATAAATTTCTAATGCATAACTCCGAAAATCCTTCATGTAAATGTGGCTACTACATGGAAAATACAGAACACCTTTTTCTTTTTTTGCCCACTGACGGAAACCCGAACGTAAACGATTGTGAGAACCAGGCCTGTTTTGAAATTGTTCATTCGTATATTAGTGCTACATAACGATTCAAACTGATAAAGTAGTGATGTAATCGACTAAAACCCCTAAACTATCTACCACCACCGCCTCCTGCTTTGTGAACTCCGGGTCAGGTCTTATTTAGTCTAATTTACAGTGCGCTAAGATGTCGTTATATGGCGGTATATTAGATTCAAAATTCTAACATGCTATCGTCTAATTTCTTACTTCTACGCATGTAATTTCTAACTTCCATTCATGTAATTTCTAACTTCCATTCATGTAATTTCTAACTTCCATTCATGTAAGACAATGTATAATCCAACTTCTTTATTTTTTTCAGTGTAAATTTTAATTCTGTTTCATCTTATTTCTATTATTAAGGCAAAAAATGTCTACTTCATTGCCGCTTTACATGTTAAACATGAACGGCAAACAAATTTAGAATTTTGATACTTCTACCTAGCAACCATTGGGGAAAAGACATTAGTTTGTATCAAACTTAACTGCAAGACAGGGCCTTTAAAATGACACTGTTACTAAAAATAGAAACAATTTGGAGGACGAGACTAGATAACACGCTCGGCGTGCATTCGACCAAGACCAGTGCGTGCTTAGTCAACCATGTGCTGAAGAGAGACCATGTGTGTTTTGAAAAATTTAAAAAAATGACTACAAGTATATGAAATTTGAATGATCAGAATTCAGAATGTATATGATTAAATAAATGTGAAAACTGTCTTTTTATTTTAATGGTCTTAATCCCAACCATCATTATGACGTCGTTTGGGGTCGCCACCATAAGCTCTATTGGGCGATTGAGCACCTGATCAGGACCATTCTGTTGATATAAACGACTCGCTCTTCGTCCGGTTGAATGGTTTGGCGGAGTGTTAAAATTGAAAACAACATCGAGAGAGAGAGCGAGAGAGAGAGAGAGAGGGGGGGGGGGGTAGGGTTTAACATCCACTCGACACAAACTAGGTCATTTCGGGATTAACATGGTTCAATTTTATTTCAATAATTCGCTTGCGCATAGGGGTGTTTAGCAGTGGGAGGAAACCGGAGGACCAGAAGAAAACCCACGAGGTTGGACAGGCGACCCTACTCCTTGTCATGTACAACCGGGGAATCGAAACAACACCGGTTGACTCAATGACAGACCTTATGATACAGCGCGCACGTGCTAACCATTCGGCCATCCAACCCCCCAAACAACATTGAACGTGATATATATGTATAGTTTGCAAATACTATTTCAAATACGGTGGCTAAGTGGATAAGACGCTGGCTCACCAGCCTGGAGGTCGGGTGTTTGATCCCTGCATTGG